CGCGGCCGCGGCGGCGCCCGAGAGTTTAGCAGCGGCTTAACTCGGGATTTAATTGATATATCTCGAACACGCTCGAAACGCACGTTTCGACATTTTGACGCGGTCGAGCCCCTTGTAAATCACGTTTATAGTCGCGCGTGTCACCCTACGTGTTCTAATGTCCCCAAACCGATCGATATATCTTTCCCTCCCTCCCTCCCTCCCTCCCTCCCCATTTCCCGATACATTGTGCCTTTCGGGCGCAATTTGTCGGCGGGAAAGCCGCTCGAGAGTCGGAGAGTCGCGCGACGGAGAGGTGAAATTGCACACGGAGATGGAAATAGTTTCGGCCCGGGAAGGATTTACATTTAATTGGAATTTATGCCGAGCGTTTAATCCGTCCGTCCCGGCCGTGAAAACTGGATTGAACGCTCGGCAGTTGGAGCGAGAAAGCGAGAAAGCGCGAGAAAGGAAGGAGAAAGAGAGAAAAAAAATGGATATCGCCGATACTTTGAAATCGGACGATGGCATCGTGACGCGCGCCATCTCGCATTAATCAACGATGCGTGAGGATACTTTTAATCTGAAAAAAATGGGCCCCGCATGCGGTAACGAGCCGCGTGGCTGTCGAACGGACCGCCGCCGCATCGACGTGGGCCATTTAATTAATGTCCGTCCCGCGGGGATCAATGAAAACCCACGAGAGGCGAGGCAACGGAACTACCGGGCGAAACAAGATTAACGCCGGCCAAGCCCGGAGACTTGCTCTCGTATTTGCATATGTCGTCGTAATGGCGTTTCTATAGCCGCGCCTTTCGGCCACGGTTTTCGTCGTCTTCGCGCGAAGCGGCAAAGCCCGATCGCGCCCGAGATTAACGAGTCGATCCACTTGGCCGAAACTTTGCGGATGTGGCGGAATATTCGGAAATTCTCCGAAATGTCGCTTCGAAAATTTAGACACGCACACTTTAACCCTTTAACGCCTATTGGTAACTATAGTTACCAGAAACGCATTTAAGAATCCAGAACTTAGTCAAAAAAAGGAGATATTTTCGTTTTCTTTGCACCTCTCACTGTAAAGGTGAATTCTTCTTTTAAAAAATGGTATATACCATAGATGTATGTAGATTCGGTTTAGTCTGTTTTTAGCTCAGTTTTAATGATAACATGTTTTGTCAAATTCCAAGTAAGCGTAGTTAGCATTGTTACCGACATCTAGAAGTGCACTGTAAATGAATAGATTGGTATCTGTTATAATTTTATACATTTGGAAGTTTTCTCAGATGCAAAGTGTGAAATTGGAAGAATATAGAAATTCAAAATGGCGGATCCAACATGGTGGACACGAAAATCAAGAGATCAAGCTATTCTCGTGAAACCTGATGACCTACAGTTTTTTGTGCAGCGAAAAATGAAGGGACGATTGACTATGTAAATGGTGATCTATTCTGGAAGATATTCTTCTGAAATAGTAAGCTTGACGCTCTGGATGATAAACTTCACTCACAAATACAGGAAAGTTTCAGCTCCAAAAGTCAAGCTGATTATCAGAGTTATGTCGTATAGATTACCCTTCATTTTTCTCCGCATAGATTGCTCATTTCGTATATGCTTTTAGGATCCAAGTCATATTTACCAATAAACAAAAAACGAACGATGAAAAAACCAACATAAAATTCTGATATTTTTTTTGGTTATCACTGCTTATAGTCTCAGTTCAAAAAAACTCAATTTTTATTCTTAAAACACTTATAAAAAAGTCGGGCATTAAAGTCGGGGGTTAAAGTAGAAATAGATTAAGAATTTTTTAGGAAAATTTCAGAAGACCTCAAGATACGAACATGTCGGTGAAGCGTTTTTGTAATTACAAGCGGTGGGGATAGAAACGACAATTTGAACATTCTGTCATTTCGAGGTCGAGCGTGACGGCGACGAGAATTACATGAAAAATTATACAAAACTGAGCTCATCAAAGTTACGCCATCATTAACAACGCCATCATTAACATTGACGTCGAATTAAAATTTAAAACTGCAACTCGATTAAGAGTATGCCGGATAATAATAAGAGTATCCTCGGATAAAATGGACCCTTTTGTTACGTCTTACGGTTCTCTTAAAAGTTCTGCATTATTCTAATTACCTCGCTGATTAAAAGAGAAGGAGGAGAGGTTAGCTTCGTTTTCTTTCTTCCATATCTTATATTCTGCCTCTCTCTCTCTCTCTCTCTCTCTCTTTGGCGAGTAAAATTATTCTGCACTCTGCACACATCAATGGTAATTTTATTCCTGCGAGAACTTGACAGATAATAATAATAATAATTAATAAACATCGAGATATCGTGGCGAGAGTACTCCAGGTGTGTCATGTTGTGCCTCCTGAGATTACGAGACGAGCTCGCGAGAGACAACGTCTCCCTCCTGACGGACCCTCCCGCCGAGTCTCGTGAGAAATGGCGAGAAGAAATGGCGCGTTTGCGGCAGCGACTATTGACGCGTAACGCAACGCAACACGCAACATGTTTGGGCGGCGTAATTCGTGTCAGTGAATTGAAACGCGCACGGCCGAGATTGAATCTCTTCGCGCGTTTCATCCTCGCGATGTTGATCATTATCAACACGCGCAAGCTTCTTTACTCAGCCGCTCGCGGACCTCCGCGAGGGCACGCGACGGAAATTTACTACGGAATAATGCCGTGTTGCGGTAGGTCGCTGCCTTCAGCTTCCAACTGCGCGCGTTCCGCAAAGCGCAAAGCGGCACGTAGGTGTGTCACCTCGCGCAGGACGGAAACCTACCGTTGGTTTCTCGCCGGAGCGAGAACTCCTCCCGCGACTCCTCGCCATCGCTGCTGTTACGTGGATCAAGCAGCCTCCACACCGGAAGGAGCGCCGCTCGAATCCTCAAGCTGCCTGATTAATTGATCCGGGCTAATTTGCCGCGGCTGCCTCGAGCTCGAGTTTGTTTTGCACAGGCAGCGGCGGACGCTAACGCTGCTCTTCTCTCGCGTACTTTGCTGCCCATTAGCCGGCTGCTAATGAAAGAAAAATTGTTTGGAGAAGCGGAGGGAAACAACGGGGAAATCGATGCATCCGTGAGATCGCGGCCATTCGTGAGCGAAAAATATTGCCAACCAACGAAGGGCCGAACAAACATCGAGATGCCGTGAGAAATCTCCTCCATATTTAATTCCCCGTCTGCGCAGCGTCATTTCCGCTGATTTTCTATTAACGACGGGCAAACACACACGTGCGCTAATCACGCCCGAGCGCATTCTCTCTTTTCCCGCTCCTCGCGTATTTCTTTGTCTCTCTCTCTCTCTCTCTCTCTCTCTGTGTGTGTGTGTGTGTCTCTTTCTCTATCTTTCCGTCTCGTTCCCGCGACCGTCGATTCCGCGCGTTATTCGCGTCCGCAGCGCGGAAGGGGCTTTTTTAACGTTTACACAGATACTTTATCTCATTATAATTCGCCCACGCGCCCACACGGCGACTGCGTTAGTTGCCGTAACGATCTGCGCGCCGGCGAAGGCGAGCTCCTCTTCCTCACATCCGCTTCCTCATCGTCCGTGTTCGCTCGCGCATCCTCCTCGCCCCGCGAATTTTTACGCGCCCTTTGCATCGCGTTTCTGCCATACTTCTCGTTTCCCGCGCGAACACCCACTTTCACCCTTCCGCGTCGCTCGAAGATGCGTCGGAAATGAGACGCGAGCACGCACGATGCGCCTTTTGTTTACGGTGGACACTTTTCTTCTTCCTTGTTCTTCCAGCGGGCGGGCTACCGCGAGGCGGGAGTTTCGCGTTTGACGAAATCGAGCGGCATTTTGCGTTACACGCTCGACACGGGGACGCGAAACGCGATCTCGAGAGAGAAAGGCGAGCATCCTAAGCATTCTTTTCGTGCGATGCGTGCTGGGGATCTGAACGCAATTGGTGGGCACTTAGGAGCGAGACGGGTCATTTGCATGCCTATAAGTGGCATACGTGAATACATACATGCATGGCTACTTACGTAAATTCGTGTCGTCGACCTCGCGTAACTTCCCGTAGCTCAGTTTCATCGTGTTTTTTTCCCCTTGAACGAGCATCACAATGACATCGACATCGTCGTCGTCATTGTCGTCGTCGCGTTGCATTCGATTTCGAGACGCGCGGCGCGAAGCGACTGAATCTACGATCCCTGTCGGGAATTCGCCGAATTCTCCTACGCGCGTTCCTAATTTTTCCGAATCTCCACAAGTCGGACTAGCCGATCGAAAATCGCAGACTCGACTTTTCGGCCACTCGAATCCCCATCGAAGCCATTTTGATGATCCGAGAGCTCGAGTTTTTCTCAGTTCTCGCATCAAGAGGGGGACGAAACGACCGAGAAAGCGAAAGAGAGAAAGAGAGAGAGAGGGAGAGAAAAGGAGAGACTACGACGAGACGCGTCATAAATTCGACGCGTGAAATACGATCGTTGCGCGCTGTTAGCGCGACTAATGGCGTTCTAAGAGTCGTAGATTAATCGAAGAGCGAACTAAAAGATGCATCGATTCAACTACCGGCGGTGCCGCGCGCCGCGGGTGAGATACTCCGGCACGGAGGCGGAAAATAAAGACATCGGCCGCTCATTCGCGAGGACTGCCCGCTGCTAAGGGAATCGATAAATCCGCCACGGCGATATCGATACTGACGGCTACCCACGTTTTATCGCCCCGCGGATACGCGATCGTCCGTCGCTCGATTATGAATTCCCGTTCTCTCGTTGTCGCAGCGGGGCGACCGACTTTCCAGCAGACGCCCCTCTCTCCCGCCCCTGCGGTGATTTTTCTGCGATGAATCTCGTATGTCTTTTTCCGTGTCGTTCTCTTCCTTTGCCGGACTTTGCCTTTGCGAAGTGTCTCCCTCTTTCTTGACGAGTGTCTCGCTCGCTCGTGAACAAACGGAGAGACTTCTCTTCGTCTTTTTAATTTCAACGTACGTTGTTAACTTTTCTCTGCGATCTCTCTCGTGACGAATGTTAATTGGTGACTTTGTGATTTTACAGAAATCGAGGCGCAGGAGGCTTGCAAATGGCTGAGAGCCGCCGGATTCCCGCAGTACGCGCAGATGTACGAAGGTGAGTACAATCCTTGCGATAAAGCAGAATAGCAATAAGCAATTATGAGGTGCGCTATTCAGTAGCCGTTGATCCGGCGAAAGTCCCTTCAAATTGCCCCGAGATCGCCGCACCGAAGTAGTCAGCCGCGGGTTGAAAGGGAGCAATTTCAGATGAAATCTAAATCACTCGGAACAGCCGGATGTCCTGGCGGGAGATAATGGGGATTAAACGGAGCGCGCCGGGGTGGGACGACCCTTTGTTATTTTCAGAATTCCTAATTTACTTTCTCGAGGGAAAGATAAACCGCCCCCGAAGGAATTCCGAGCCATCTCGTTTAACGTCACAGCTGGCGACAATAACGACGTCGTCGTCGTCACGCATAAATTTCAGTCAACGTTGTCTCGATTACACAATTCCAATTTCCACATTTTCCAAGAGTTTTTGCTCGACGACGCGAGTCCCGTCTGAGGCGGGCGTCTCACTTTTCTCTGACACGCGTGTCTTGAAGAAGGACGAGGGGCGACGCCTTTCAGGACATTCTTCGAAGAAGGGATGATTATCGGCGAAAAGTCAGACAGCTGATAAAACGAGGTCGATAGGCGCAGCGGTGCTCAGTTGCGAGCAAACGGGATCCAACACTTACATTATGTCAATACACGTGGATTATTTCAAACTTGACTCTCGTCGTCAATTTATTGAAGGGGGGAATTACGTGCGGAGCAGGCCGCTTTCAAGGCCTTTACGAATTTTTTTAACGGAAACGCTAGGATCAATGGACTTGAAATTTTCTCAGTGTATTCATTAATGTTCAAAGTATAAAATAAATTTGCTAAAACTTGGCTTCACTGTCTTCATTTTGCTATGCGCTATAATGGCAACGTATATTTTAAAAATCTTTCTTAGTTTTTAGTTTCAGAGTGAGAGAGAGAGAGAGAGAGAGAGAGAGAGGCCCAGAATTACGTCGACAGCAAACATAGAGCTCGCAAACGGATGACTGCATTTTTATCTATAATTACAAATTGGATCGATTCTTGTAATTCAATAAAATTTATTTTATACCTTGAACATTAATGAGCACTGTGAAAATTTCAAGTTCATTGATCTTAGCGTTTCTGTTAAAAAAAATTCGTAAAAATAGCTTTGAAAATGGTTTCCCGTAATTAATGTAATTCTCCCCTTAATACTTACGCGATAATCCCCTGAGATCTTTTTATTACGTAAGCGTATATCTGCTTGTTAAACAAAATTGCCACAAATCAAACCGTCACCGATATTGTTGCTATCCAAATCGCCGAGCCGGTTCAGTTTAACCCTTTATTTCCTAGCGGCACTCAAAAGTACCGCTCTATATAAACGCTCATATATTTCTAAACTTTTTTTCTTTCTGTATTTTGCTCTATATTTCTATCGGTACTTGTAAGTATCATCTTAAATTATTATAAAATTTATTTTCCTATTCCTTACGTTTATAATACGCCGAAAGCTATTTAATTACACAAAAATTTGAAGGGTTTAACAATGCTCATCTGCGTCTCTTTGACTCGCTAAAATCCCCCGGCGCGATCCTTTCCATCTCTAATTGCAGCAGCGCTTTCTTTGATCAATGGCTTTTCTCGTTCTTTGAGGGATGAACGTCCCAGTTTTGTTTCCATTTAGAATTATATTTTAGAATTTATTTTCTCATATATTTTCCCTCGATATATATTTATATCTTGCCTGGCTTTTTATCCAGTCCAATTTTGCACGACTTTCCAATGTAAAAAAATTGCGATAACCGAGTTGTGGCATCAGTTCCGATGTAAAGAAAATGGTGAGATCGTAAGACTTGCCCTCTTCCAACAATGCAAGGTTGGAATGATCAAAATCGCTCTATAAACTCCCTTTTCATTGTTTAAGTGAGTAACGTTACGCATTTGAGCGCTCTTATTGTCTTCTTTGTACTTCCCACGACGCTCGCGAAATTGACGCACGACGAGGAACGCGAATTCAATCCCGAACACGAGTGACGCAGGCTCGACGCCATTCAGACCGGCCGCTGAAGCGTCGCGCGAGGACGCGAGGCACGCGGTTTCGCGCCGGTGGCGAGACGCGGCGGAAGGCGGAACGGTAAGGAGCGACACGTAGGCAGACGCGGATCGGATCGCGCGAGAGAGTAAATTATTAAGAGGGCAGCGTGATGCGCCTGGACATGTTAATACGGCTCATAATGCGGGCTCTTTGTCGCGCGGCGCCTACCAACAATGCGTTCGTTATTGCGGTACCGCTGCATTGTTGCAGCAGCATTTGCGCCGCGGATGCCGTCTTACCGCGCGCCATTAGCGGCCCATTGTTTCACGATCCTCGCAGCCGCGCGGGAGACTCGCTCGCGAAGGACTCGACGACGCGCCTCGGACCGATGCCCGACCGGTCGTGCGCCTTGAGCGTCGTCGTCGTCGTCGCCGTCGCTCTCGGCTCGGCTCGGCTCGCTTCTCTGATACTTTCTTTCTCGTGCTCTCTGACACCACGTTTTCTCAGGGTGACACAGGCTGGAGAGAATTCTTCCCCGCGAGATTCGACGCTTCTCGCGCGCTGCCGGGGAGTATCATACTCGCTAGGATATATTCATACACTGAGAGAAAAGTATATGATATTTGGGACTGTAATGATATAGTAACTAAATTATAGTCCGAAATATCATATTCATAGTAAGTATTGCCATAATATCGGTAATAATTACGATATAGGCATAGTATAACCAATCATATGATATCTTTACTAAGAATTATCATGAGTTAAATTAAAATTTTTGTATGGATGCAAATATAAAATGGTAGGTAAAGTAACTCTTTTATATGGTCAATTTTACCAGAATATTTGCTAAATGATGACAGATGTAACTGTAATATGAATATTAAATCTCACTATATTTGTGAATGAGAAATTAGCACATGTGTGGTAAAAGTAACTAAACAATTATTCAAGACAATCATTGATTATATATTTGTGTTTTTTTCTACTATATTTTGCAGATTCCACCAACTATAAAAATATGGTTGACGCCAAAATGAACTGTAAAATATAGTGAGATTATAGTTAATTCAACTATATTTTTCTATCAGTGTATCGAAATATTTGGAGGTAGCAAGGGGTGGAAGCGCCGATGCCGGACCCAATTCTGGATATTTTCATTGTTTCCTCTTTTGAATTGAAATCTTTTAAATTTTCAGCGCGTGTATGCGTTATATAGAGTCGAATGATATTTTTACCTTATGCGAAAGTATACTTTGTAACATATGTTAAATGCTCAGACTGTGGAAAGTGGAAAGATATTCGGAAAGAATTGATCGCTGTGATAATTTGTAAATTCGGATTTCGGTATGAAAACGTATCCCGGCTACGCTCGACACGGCGCGGATTTATTCGATAAAAATTTTCGCCGCGCACGTATCAGCGACTCGAAACAGAACAAAGTTTATTCCCGCGGGTCCATCGCGGACCACCCAGTGTTTGAACGTTCGCCGTCTATAGAAAGAGAACTTGACGCAAAAACGCGAAACATTACGCCCTCCGAGGTCCTTCGTCCTGTCGCGCCTCTCGCAAAGGCTTCGTTCGTTCGTTCGTTCGTTCGTTCTCGCGCGCGCGCGCGCGCGCACGGTGATTAATCGCGTCGCGCGAGAAGCCCGCAAAGATATACATGTACCATGTAACGCGACCTTGTAAACTGCCGACGGAAAATGGCGCAAAAATTCCATTTATCAGGTCGCGTTGCGTACTCAGCCCGGGTTGAGTAAAATATCAGAGGTTTAACGATTTCATTCCGCCGGGGATGGATATCCCCGGTGACATAAATCTCGTCTTACATTGTGGCGTCTAGCCAGGAGGTGGTTAGATCCGCGCGGTGGTGATGTAAATCAGCGCGGCTAGGCCGAAGTGAAAAATCACCGCGGGACATTAATCACCGTCCGGCGGCGTCCGGGTGAATATTATTCCCGCATTAACTCTTGAAATTGAAGAAAGACCTGGAATTACTCGCCGCGCCAAGGACGTTAATGACTGCTGAACACGAGGTATTAGTCCTTTCCCTATGTACACCCGGCTTAATGCCTTCGCGCGCGCGATACGCTCTCTCTCTCTCTCTCTCTCCCCCCCCCTCCCTCCCTCTCTCTCTCTCTCTCTCTGTCTCTCTGTCTCTCTCGGCAGGTCCAGGTAACTTCGTTTTACCTGGTGTATCTGACACCGCCGCGCGTGCGTATGTATGTGTGCGCGTGCGCGCGTTGAGAAGAATACCGCAAAGTCTCGCGTCAGATTTACGGGCCGCGCTCGGACCCGCCGATGTTATTTTCACGGTGAACTTCTTTCCGCACGACGACGACGGCGGCTCATTAACGCGCTCGGCTAATCGAGCGGAAGCAACGCCGATCGCCCTTTTCCGCGGTGCCTCGCGGAACTTTTCTTCATCTCGCGATACTTCCAGCGCGATTCTTCCACCGGCGATGTCCAGTGAAGTCGGACAGCGAGAGGAAAAACTCGTAGAGATCTCAGAGTGTTGACGAAAAGTCTCACGAGTCAGTTAAGAGTCTCCCACCTTGTGGGCAAGCTTAAGATTATGATTATTATACAGAGTGTATGTTAAACTGTCGCGTAATATTATTATTAACATGTCAACTGCGCGGGTTTTCGCCCCGACCGAGTGTAGCGCGATGCAGCAATGGTACGTGAATGCGATAGAAAGAAGAATATACACACAAGTTAGAATAGTTTATCAAGTTATGTTTCCAACAGCTGTGAATTCGGGCAAGCGCTCGCAGGACGCTGAGCGGAAGACGAGGTTCAACGAAATCGCGTTGTATTATTTAAGCGCGACTAGTCCGCGCGGATTTTTCGACTCGCTAATAACCCGGCGTTACGCGTAACTGCAATCTGCAAGTTTAACAAGTTAGCTCCATTATAACTGTAAATTTATGTGCCTCCGGTCACGCCATCGGTACGACGGGACGGGAGAGCGAGATACACGAGCGCGCTCGCGTTTTCTTCTCACA